CATTTCTCAGGACGAGGCTGATCGTCGCGGAAAGGTCTATGACAAATACATGTCCAGCTTCCTCTTCAACCTCAATAATGGTATGAAGTCTCTTTGTCTTGTTCCAAGGTAGTCTTTTTTTTTTTTTTTCCTTTTTTTTTGAGACAGAGTCTTGCTCTGTTGCCCAGGCTGAAGTGCAGTGGCACGATCTTGGCTCACTGCAGCCTCTGCCTCCTGGGTTCAAGTGATTCTCCTGCCTCAGCCTCCTGAGTAGCTGGGACTATAAGCACCCACCACCATGCCCAGCTAATTTTTTGTATTTTTAGTAGAGACTGGATTTCACCATGTTGGCCAGGCTGGTATCGAACTCCTGGCCTCAAGTGATCCACCAGCCTTGGCCTGCCAAAGTGCTGGGATTACAGGAGTGAGCCACTGCGCCCAGCCCCAAGGTGGTCTTTCTACCAGATCGTCCTTGCTGTAGTCCAAGTGTAGATCAGCTCCAAATCTTCCAGCAGATGCACAGAGCAAGGGGGCAGGATCATACTTGGGGATCCCACAGGCCACAGTGCCCTTGCTTTGGAAGAACCTCCATTTCTGGGTTCTGTTCGTAATAGGAGCACTGAGCGCCTTTACCTGAGAAATCTTCCTGCCCGGTAGATGAGAAGATCCATAATTCAAAGAGTGAGGACCCAAAAGGAGAGCTCCCACACAAGGCTGAATTCTGAGGCTGCATGCTTTCCTCTGCTTCTGTTAGCACACTGGGCTTCAAAATTCCCATCAGACTAAAGTGTTTGTTACTATTTAATTGATTTTAAATTCAGGCTGAGAAGCTGTGGAGTTGCCAGCGTGCTCATGGTTTTCCTTGATTTACTTTACTTTATACAGATTTTGTAGTGGATGCTACTCGGAAAGGAAACAAAATTCGATTTGCAAATCATTCAGTGAATCCCAACTGTTATGCCAAAGGTGAGTCCCAGTGACCTGGGAGGTGGGGCGGGCGATGGATGCCTCTTTAATGTGATTTCCATCCGTTGTTGAACCTCTTCCATAGCTGAGCTTTTTTTTTTTTTTTTTTTTTTTTTTTTTTTTTTTGAGGCGGAGTCTCGCTCTGTCGCCCAGGCTGGAGTGCAGTGGCGCGATCTCGGCTCACTGCAAGCTCCGCCTCCCGGGTTCACGCCATTCTCCTGCCTCAGCCTCCCGAGTAGCTGGGACTACAGGCGCCCACAACCGCGCCCGGCTAATTTTTTGTAATTTTTAGTAGAGACGGGGTTTCACCGTGGTCTCGATCTCCTGACCTTGTGATCCGCCCGCCTCGGCCTCCCAAAGTGCTGGGATTACAGGCGTGAGCCACCGCGCCCGGCCCAGCTGAGCTATTTTTTGTCCAAAGATAATCATGATTAACGTCTGGGATCATTTTAGGCCCCTCTCAATCTTAGTTTTATAATCTGCTTTTTTCAGTGAATACATTATAAACACTTTCCCACAAACATGATTTAACCAGCCTGAGCAACATAGTGAGACCCACCTCACCAAATAATAATAGGCTGGGCGCAGTGGCTCACGCTTGTAATCCCAGCACTTTGGGAGGCCGAGGCAGGTGGATGACTTGAGGCCAGGAGTTCAAGACCAGCCTAGCCAACATGGTGAAACCCCATCTCTACTAAAAATACAAAAATCAGCTGGGCGTGGTGGTATGCACCTGTAGTCCCAGCTACTCAGGTGGCTGAGGCACAAGAATCACTTAACCCTGGAGGCGGAGGTTGCAGTGAGCCAAGAGGTTGCAGTGAGCCAGGCTGGAGTGCCACGGCACTCCAGCCTGGGCAACAGAACAAGACTCTGTCTCAAAAAAAAAAAAAAAACCACTAATAATAATAAAGATAATTTTTCTGCCATAATAACAGATCTAAAAGCATAGAGACAACTACCGTATTGACTACTTCGTAATTCCATTTGATTCATGTTTTCACTGGGAATTTGGAGAAAATCAACCCAGAAGCCTACTGGTTATTGATTTGGAGTTGGGTAGGAACCTAGCCTTGGGTTTATCCTGCTTGCAGTGGTCATGGTGAATGGAGACCATCGGATTGGGATCTTTGCCAAGAGGGCAATTCAAGCTGGCGAAGAGCTCTTCTTTGATTACAGGTGAGGTGCCAGTAATGGTCCTTGGGTTGTGGCCCCGGAACTGGAAAGAGAGGCGTTGGAATAGATTTGGAGGCTCAGGGAGGGTAATGGGGATGGAGGAGAGTCTTCCGGTGAACAAGGCTGTGTCCCTTGTTCTGATATCTGGTGCCTTGCCTCAGAAGTGGGACCATTGTAAACAGCCTTTAAGGAGTGGGAGGGGAAGTGAAACGGAAGGGGACTCCGCCTTTTCAATCACAAAAGTCATGAGAGTAACCTGGTTCCTCCTCCCTGCTCTGGGACAGGTACAGCCAAGCTGATGCTCTCAAGTACGTGGGGATCGAGAGGGAGACCGACGTGCTTTAGCCCTCCCAGGCCCCATGGCAGCATTTATGGTAGCGGCACTGTCTTGGCTTTCATGCTCACACCACTGCTGCTCGAGTCTCCTGCACTGTGTCTCCCACACTGAGAAACCCCCCACCCACTCCCTCTGTAGTGAGGCCTCTGCCATGTCAAGTGGGCACAAAACTGTCTCAATGAGAGGGGAGACAGAGGCAGCTAGGGCTTGGTCTCCCAGGAGAGAGTTGCAGAAATGGGAGACTTTCTCTGTCCTCAGAGGAAGTGAGCACAGGCTGGAGTAGATGACTTATATGTGATTTCGTGTCGGCTCCCCAGGTTGTGGGCCTCAGGAATCAACTTAGGCAGTTCCCCACAAGCACTAGCCTGTAATTGTAGCTTTCCCCATCAGGCGTCCCTATGTCATTGGGGTGCAGGCAAACCTCTGTGATCCGAAGACCTGGAGAGGACAGGCTAAGTGAAGCGTGGTCCCTGGACCCTACAAGTGGTCTGGGTTAGAGGCAGGCCTGGCAGGCAGCACAGACTGAACTCAGAGGTAGACGGGTCACCTTACTACCTCCTCCCTTGTGGCAGGGCTCAAACTGAAAGAGTGTGGGTTCTAAATACAGGCATTTGAGGCTTGGGGAAGGAAAGCTATGCCATCCTTCCTTGGCCAGAGAGGGAGAACCAGCCAGATGATAGTAGTTAAACTGCTATGCTTGGGCCCAGGAGGCTTTGTGAAAGCCTTCTCTGTGTACTCTGGAGATAGACGGAGAAGTGTTTTCAGATTCCTGGGAGCAGACGCCAGTGCCCAGCTCTCCAAAGTTCTGGCTTAGCAGCTGCAGGCAGGCATTATGCTGCTATTGAAGAAGCATTAGGGGTGTGCCTGGCAGGTGTGAGCACCCTGGCTCGCTGGATTTGTAGGTGTTTTCAGGCCTTCCATTCCCCATAGAGGCAAGGCCCAACGGCCAGTGTTGCTTATCTCTTCAGGGTAGGCAGGCATAGGCCTGGACTAGAGAGGAGAAAGATTGGTGTAATCTGCTTTCCTGTCTGTAGTGCCTGCTGTTTGGAAAGGGTGAGTTGGAATATGTGTTCCAAGTTGGGTGAGGGGCTAAATTGCACGTGTTTAGGCTGGCATCCCGTGTGCAGGGCATACTGGTGGAGGGTATGTGAAGTGGGAGAAGAAGCAGGTAGACCACCTGTTCCAGGCTGTGGTGCCACCCTCTCTGGGATTCATGCAGAGCAAAGCACTTTAACCATTTATTTTAGAAGGTCTATAGATTGGGGTAGAGTTTGGGCTAAGGTCTCTAGGGTCCCTGCCCAAATCCCACTCCTGAGGGAGGGGGAAGAAGAGAGAGCGGGAGATTCTCTTCCAGTCCTGTCTCATCTCCTGGGAGAGGCAGAGGAGCGAGCTTCACACAGAATTTCATGTGAATGGGGCCAGCAAGAGCTGCCCTGTGTCCACGGCAGGTGTGCCAGGCTGGCTGGGAACAAGGAATAGTGTGCTGGGTAGAAAGGGCGTGGGCGGGTGTAGATTGGCCTGGGAGTGTTATAGTAGGGAGCAGGCTTCTTCCTTCTTTCTGAGACTCGCAGCCCCCACTTCTTCCCACTCCACTGGTTGTCCCATGAAGGAAGAAGTGGGGTTCCCCCTGACCCAGCTGCCTCTTAGGGTTTGGTGTGAGACATGCACACACACTCACACGCTCTCACTCACCACACTGGAGGGCACACATGCATCCCGCACTCAGCAACTCCTGACAGAAAGCTCTTCCCACCCAAATAGGCCAGGCCCCAGCATGATCCTGAAATCTGCATCTGCCGTGGTTTGTATTCATTGTGCATATCAGGGATACCCTCAAGCTGGACTGTGGGCTCCAAATTACTCATAGAGGAGAAAACCGGAGAAAGATGAAGAGGAGGAGTTAGGTCTGTTTGAAATGCCAGGGGCTGGCCATGAGGAATAGGTGAAAAAAAACTTTTCACCAGCCTTTGAGAGACTAGACTGACCCTACCCTTCCCTCAGTGAGCAGAATCACTGTGGTCAGTCTCCTCCTGTCCCAGCTTCAGTTCATGAATACTCCTGTTCCTCCAGTTTCCCATCCTTTGTCCCTGCTGTCCCCCACTTTTAAAGATGGGTCTCAACCCCTCCCCACCACGTCATGATGGATGGGGCAAGGTGGTGGGGACTGGGGGAGCCTGGTATACATGCGGCTTCATTGCCAATAAATTTCACGCACTTTAAAAGTCCTGTGGCTTGTGACCTCTTATCTGAATAAAGTGTTAGAATCCATTTTGGCAAGCTGTGTACTGTGTGCTTTGGGGCTGGAAGGATCCAGGGATGGGGTCCAGGAGCAGGTCGGGCCAAAGCATCAGCATTCTGATCCCCACTTACCCACTGAGGTCTGGCAAAGGGGGAGATGGGGGGTCCGGCAAGAGCCAGTCAAGCCCCTGGAAGGTGATGTAAGGATTCTGAGAGCTCCTTCTAGAAATTCCTGAGCCCTCAGGTTAGTTCCCTTAAAATCATCCCACTTATCCCCTAACCACGACGCCAGCTACCACACACAGACTGGGGCTCTGCCACTCTGCTTTATTGGAACGGCTCCGTGTCTGAGAGCACAGCAGGCTCAACCCTGCTTCAGAGTGGAGGCCGGACCAGGCTGGTGAGTGACCAGCAGGACTCATGAGACTTCCAACACAGGAGAGGCAAACTACGGACTGTGGGCACAGCACAGCACAGGACAGCACGGCCAATTGAGCTTTTCTTTTATATATAAACAAATACTTTAAAAATTCGAATAATATATAGAGTTTCTCTAGAGAGAGACTTTGCAACAAAAAATACATATAAAGAATATGACCTCCTGGGTAAATGAAGCAGCATCTCTGAGCGGAGGAAAGAGGGCTCCTCATGCACTGGAGGGGGCGAAGCCTTTGGACAGGCACCAAGGCCGTTGCATATCTTGGAAAAGGATGGAGGAGTAGAGGGCTGGCTAATCAGGGTATCTGCATTATTTTCTCTACATTGCAGGTTTTTTATGGCTTTGGCTAAAGCAAGTGAAGCAGCGGAGGTACTAAGGTGCTAAACTGAGGCCTCTTGGTCTCTGTGTAAAAACCAAAGGAGGGGGGCAGGGGACAGCCATCAAGCCCTCTCGAGCCCCCAGCTGAGTGGAAGCAGATGGAAGATCTTCTTCAGGGCAGGGGGGAGGCTGGGGGATAGGGTTTAGCAGCCTCCTCCCCCCATACCCTCTGCAGCCCTGCACTCCCACACATCTGTCCCTGCTGATAGTGTCTATTGGAAGGGAGACAGTTAATCTCCCCTACACTGTTGTTAATCCCTGACAGCAGCTGGGACAGAGATGGCAGGAAAGACCTATGTCAACCCCACGAGACTTCTTTGGGGCAAACAGCCAGGAGCCTGGGGAAACAGGGATGAGCAGGGCATTGGTTTAGGCAGTGAGGCTCGGCCACTCCCTTGGGTCCCATCTATAGCTCTGCCCACCAAACTTGGCGGGGGCATGGGGGTATCCTCTGGATGAGCAGAGCCAGCTAAGAGAAGCCAAATGTCCCTGATCGGGTGGGGGAGAGGCAGGACTCGGGGAATTTCAGAGGAGTTGTAATTGGTCCCAGAAGCCCTTCTGACTTATTCAGACCTGGACTCCTCCAGGATCTGGGGTAGGTTCTGATCCCGAGGGCCAGGGGCTGGGGCTGGGGCTGGGGCTGGGGCTGAGGCTGGAGCTTGGGTGGGAGCTGGTGTAGGGGTGGGCGCCTGGGCAGGGCCTGAAGTGGGTAGGGGAGGTTTGCTGCCAGGATGGTACTCGTGGGCAGCTTTGGGCTCGTTGGTATGGTAGGAGCCCTTGTAGCGATGATTTTGCAGATAGAAGAGCACCAACATTCCCACCAGCCCCAGCAGCAGAAAGGCCACCAAAACTGAAAGGAAGAAAAGGGACAATTCAGATCTTTGGGATTTCACCTATATACACACTGACGCACACACACGCGCATGCACACATGCACCAATATTCCCACCGGCCCCAGCAGCAGAAAGGCCAACAAAACCGAAAGGAAGAAAAGGGACAATTCAGGGCAGATCTTTGGGATCTCACCTGTATACACACACACACACACACACTTTGGGATTTCACCTGTATACACACACACACACTCTTTGGGATTTCACCTGTATACACACACACACACTCTTTGGGATTTCACCTGTATATACACACACACACACACACACACACACACACATACCTACTTTTGGCCAAAAGCATAATATATGACACTCAGCTAGCTGTTCGACCACACTAAGCTCATCTCAAGTGTCTGGCAGGTTTGAATTCCTGGCTTACCCCCTGCCACCTTCTGTTTCTAATATTCTTTTTCCACATCCCTGGTAGTTACCCCAATTTCTCATCTCTCTAGGTGTTACTGTATCCCCATTTTCCCATCCCTTAGCTATAGCCCCATTTTAATATTTTATTTAAAAATCTGTAGCATCCTCAACATTTAAAAATCTCTGCCCAGTTATATGGCACCTTCAGAACAGCCTGTCTTATCATCCTTTGTGCCATCATGCATCTAGTGCCTTTGCCATCCTGCAGCCTTGGGGATCAGGGGCAGGGAAAGGATGCTGACAGTCAGAGGGTAGTCTTGGGAGGTCAGCTTAGTGATCAGTGCTACTCACAGCCTAAAAGTATGGCAACCCATCCTTCATCATGGTAGTACGGGAAGTCTGGAGAGGAGAAACCACCAGTTAGGAGATGCCTCCTCCATGTTAAGAATCATTTCCCTTTCCTGGCATCCCTCCCTTCCATCCTCTGTGTCCTGGGAATGTACCTGGGGGCAGATACCAGGGATCAAGTTCAGGTGGCACCTCTGAAACAAGACGTGGCATAGCTCCGCAATTAGATTCGGACAGTTCTCCCTGAACTCGAAGGGCTTCAGCTAGCTCAGCAGTCATGGGTCGAGGGGTTCGGAAGTGGGTCTTGAGGGGAGCCACATTGTTGAATCGAACACCAGACAGGCAGCCCGAGAAACCTGGGGTGTTGTAGCGCTGGATCTCCGGGTCAATGACTCCTGTCTCTGAGGGAGAGGCAGGCCCAGAAAGAGGGACTTGGACCCAAAGGCCCTGCCACTCTCACTGTCCACAGGTTTCCCACTCATCTTTCCCACCGCCCTCATAGCCATTCCCAGGGCCTTCAGTTTCCTTGAGGATCCAGGAACATATCCCACAGCTCCTTGCCTAAAACGCGTCCGCACCTGCAGCTTACCCATCACACGCCCTAGATACAAGGCCTTGGGTGAGTCCAACTGGCTGTCCACCAACAGCGAGAACTTCTGCTCTGTCAGTGGGAAGTAGTCCACCTGAGGTGGGGAGTGGGAGGGTGATGAGGGAGCGGGGACCACAAGCAGATGCCTGTGGGCTGGACTGGAGCTGTGTGGACCCTGGGAATATACTTGGGGGCAGATACTGGAGATCTCTCATTCTGTCCAAACTGGCGGTGCCAGCTGGGTGAGTCCTAGCTCAGTCTGAAGTGGGCAACTCCTGGGCCTAGATGTAGGATTTGGTATATATATATATTTATTTTTTTATTTTTTTATTTTATTCATTAAATATTTTGTGAAGACGATGTCTTGCTATGTTGCTCAGGTTGGTCTCAAACTCCTGGCCTCAAGCAATCCTCCCACTTCAGCCTCCCAAAGTGTTGGGATTACAGGTGTGAGCCACTGCACCTGGCCTATATATTTTTTAAAAACCTGGTTTTGAGCCCCATCTTTGCAGCTTACCAGCAGTTTGACTTTTGGTAAACTACTTTACTTTCCTTTTTTTTTTTTTTTGAGATGGAGTCTCACTCTGTCCCCTGAGCTACTCTGAGTAGCTGAAACCACTTTACTTTCTGAGGCTGTTTACTGATTTGTAAAACACTTAAATAAGAATGCCTACTGTCTGGCTGGGCGTGGTGGCTCATGCCTATAATCTCAGCACTTTGGGAGGCCAAGGCAGGTGGATCATCTGAAGTCGGGTGTTTGAAACCAGCCTGACCAACATGGAGAAACACTGTCTCTACTAAAAATACAAAATTAGCTGGGCATCGTGGCGCATGCCTGTAATCTCAGCTGCGCAGGAGGCTGGGGCAGGAGAATCGCTTGAACCTGGGAGGCAGAGGTTGCAGTGAGCCGAGATCACACCATTACACTCCAGCCTGGGCAACAAGAGCAAAACTCCATCTCAAAAAAAAAAAAAAAAATGCCTGTTGTCCTCTTGGAGCTATTGTGAGGGTTACATGAGGTGACACACATGAAAATCCTCTATACATTCAAATGTGATCTACAAATGTTGAGTATTTGATGTTTTCCTGGATGCCACAACCGAGATCATGAGGTTATGATCTGAACTGGCTCACCTCCCTCTATGCATACCTGGATGAAGAGGTTCCGGTAAACACGGGTGATGTTGACACTGTGGGGCTGGCCGTCGGTCACTGGGCGGGTGGTTAGCTGGTACACGTAGGGGCTGGTGCCCAGCTGATAGCGTAGCTGAAGGGTCCCTGTGGGGTGCAGAGAAGAAATTCAGGGTCTCATCTCCCATGACCCCTATCTTCTAACAGCACATAGTCCTTGTATTTGTGAATCAATAGGAGAATTAGGGGCACCTGGGTGAAGCTGGAGTGGGGTGAGAGAGCCCCGGAGAGCTTACCATCATCCTTGATGAGCACAGCCATGTAGTCACGAACAAAGGAACTGACGTAGAGCAGGACAGCGGGGGCAGAGCTGGTGCTGAAGCTGAAGGAGACTTCCTCTCCCGTAACATTGTAGACAGGCCCACGGTAACCGGGCACAGGCCGACCAGGCCGGGGGTAGTCAGGCAGGCGGTACCCGGGGCCATGGTAGCCAGGCACATAGCCCGGAGTATCATAGCCCGGGATGTAGCCAGGCTCATAGCCTGGCACCGGCCGGCTCAGCATGTGGGAGAACTCCCTGGCTGCAGAGCGCAGCGCTGACTGTAGGTTGTAGCGCATCCAGGTGCCCGGCTCAAAGAAACCACCAATATCTGCAGGTAGAAGCAGGGAAGTCAGGGCCCCACACTGCTCGCTCCCCAATTCAGAGGTTTTATGTCATCCATACACACATCCTGAGACTTCAGTTTCTGCCACCGTCACAACCCTCCATTTACTTTTAGGTTCCTTTGAGCCCCTCTGTCACAGAACAGACTCTTACAGCCATGGGAAACTTGAGATCATCTGATCCAACCCCTGCATTTTACAACTGGGGAAACAGGCTCAGAGATGAGGAGTGACTTGCTTAAATATACACAGTAACACCGGGCACAGTGGCTTACGCCTGTAATCCCAGCACTTTGGGAGGCCGAGGCAGGCAGATCATCTGAGGTCAGGAGTTCGAGAACAGCCTGACCAACGTGGCAAAACCCCATCTCTACTAAAAATACAAAACTTAGCTAGGTGTAGTAGTGCATGCCTGTAATCCCTGCTACTATAGGAAGGCCAAGGCAGGAGAATTGCTTGAACCCAGGGGGCAGAGGTTGCAGTGAGCCAAGATCGTGCCACTGCATGCCAGCCTGGGTGACAGAGTGAGACTCTGTCTCACAAAAAAAAAAAAAAAAGACAAACAGTAAGGGGACAGCCAAGATCAGAATGGGGATATCCTGACCCCATGTAGTATATGTGCCACTACTCACACTTCCAAACCAGCACCAGAAATCTGTTGGTCCTTAAATCTCGTATCTCCCTAGTCCCCCACACTCCTCCCACCAGTAACCCATCTGCCCATACATCCTCCCTATAGGCCAGCCTTAGGGAGGATGCAGTCTTGCTATGTGTGTAGAATCTTGCTATGGGGAATGTCAAGGCTCACCTTAACCAAGAACCAAGTCATTGACGTGTTTTAGGAATGCAGCAATTATCAAATACATTTACAAGAGAGTGCGCCTATGTTACCATGGTGATGGTGGGAAGGTGGGGAAGCAATTTGCTTTTTTTTTTTTTTTTTGTAGACGCAGTCCTTGCTGCGTCCGCCAGGCTGGAGTGCAGTGGCACGATCATAGCTCACTGCAGCCTTGACCTAGGTGCAAGTGATCCTCCCACTTCAGCCTCCCGAGTAGCTAGGCCTAAGTGTGCACCACCATGCCCAGCTAATTAAGAAATTTCTTTTTTGGCTGGGCGCGGTGGCTCAAACCTGTAATCCCAGCACTTTGGGAGGCTGAGGCAGGCGGATCACAAGGTCAAGAGTTCGAGACCAGCCTGGCCAATGTGGTGAAAGCCCATCTCCACTAAAAATACAAAAATTAGCCATGCATAGTGGTGCACACCTGTAGTCCCAGCTACTCGGGAGGCTAAAGCAAAGGAATCGCTTGAACCAGGTGGAGGTTGCAGTGAGCCGGGTTCACGCCACTGCACTCCAGCCTGGGTGACAGAGTGAGATTCCATCTCAGAAAAAAAAAAAAGAATTTTTTTTTGTAGAGACAGGGTCTTGCCACGTTGCCCAGGCTGGTCTCGAACTCCTAGCCTCAAGCAGTCCTCCCACCTTGGGCTCCCAAAGCATGCTTGGTGATTTTGATCTCTTTTTGCACCAGCTATCTGTACTATCCCTTCCTTGTCCATGCCTTTGGAGTCACCCATCATCTTCAACTGCCTGACTCCCCAAACTCAGAGCTCAGGAATCCAGGGACAACTCTAATTTTCCATGATGTGGGCTTTACATGCTATTTCCTTCCCTGCCCTCCCTACATCCCATTACACCCTATGGCTTCCTGTTGCCCTGTAACCAGCAGCACTGACCGTGGTTGCAGTATGGCCCATCAAAAGCCGTGAGGTCACAGTCACATGTGTAGTAGCTATAGCGCTCCACGCAGCGGCCTCCATGGAAACAGGGGAGCCGGGGGTGGGCACAGTGGCCTGTACAGTTGGGTGAGGTTCCCTCAGAGGCATTGGCACGGCCCTCCAGGTTCAGAGTCACTCCATTCAGACGCATGGCCCTCAAGCAACCCACAAAGGGGCGTCTCTTAAGCTCTGCAGATCCTGGAAAGGGTAGGCAACAGGTCAAGAAATGGAGGCAGAGCCAGAGACAGGAGTAAGTATTGTAGTTGGAAAGGGAGCCAAGGGGGCTGGAAGAATAGAATAGAATACAAAGGCCTGGAGGGACAAGTGAGACCCTGGCTTGCTCTGAAGCAGAGAGGACTGGCACCTAAGACAGAGGCTCCTGGAAACAAGGCAAGCGGCCTTGGAGGGTGGGAAGGTAAAGGAGGCTTCAGACTTGCCTCTGGGTTGCTGCTCACCCACATAGAGGGGCTGGTCATACTCCATCCAGATGTAGGTCTGCAGTGGCATAGGCCGCAGAACCCAGGGCCGGTGATCCACTCGGAGCCGGGCCTGCTTCACGTTGATTTCAGCCCGGACCAGGTGCCACTCGTCATCGTTGAACTCAAAGTCGTCTGAGTGTACTGTGAGATTCTCATCCCCATTCCCCACATCAAAGGCGAAGACCACATCCCGGGATGCTGGACAGTGTCATGCAGGGTGGGGGAGAAAAGGACTCAGACCTACAAGATCCTTCATGGATTCCTTGTCTAATACAACCTCTTTACCTCACCTCTTTGGAGCTTCTTGAATATCCCTCCAATTTATCTGTAGCTTACAATGAAACTTACCAACTGCTTAAAACCTCATACCCTTCGTCTCTCCCCACATCACAGATCCCTGAAACCAGCTTCCCAGCCTCACCTCCCAGGCTAGAAGCATGGCTAATCAGCGGTGAGAGGGACTCGAAGGTCTAGCTTCCTTATGTACAAGGAAGGGACTTAAGGCCAAGAGAGGCCAAGTGAGTGCCTAGGGTCACCTGAGCAGCCATCAAGACCGAGTGAGGGCTAGAACCCAGGGTATCTCAACCCTTCCCATGCTGCCTGTCAAAAGGGCATCTGCCGTTGGCTCCAACCGCAGCCTGCACCTGCCCATGTCTCCCCAGACAGCACTTTCTTCTACCCCGAGGCCCTCCCACAGTCTGCCTGCTCACTGTTGAGTTCCACCCGCACATAAGGTCGGCGCCACTGGCAGTAAGGGCCCCCCATATTCTCTAGGAAGACTCCCGAGGGAGCAGAGGTCCTGAAGTAGAAGGAGACATCCAGGCTGTGGTTGGCACGGATTGGGGGGAAGCGTAGTGCAGCCCCAGTGTGGAAGGAAATGGTGTTCCAGGAATTTCCTACAAAAGCAGATGGAGGAGGGTCTCGTCAGGGAGATTGGAGGGTGGAAGAGGAAGAGAACCTGGGGTTGGGGGCAGGGGAAGTCGGGCAAAGGGGGAGAGTTTGAGGTGATGGAGGAGAGACTAAGGAGTGGAATGAAAGAGCAGCGAGGTGCAGAGTGGCAATGAGATCACAGCAGGAGCTGGGGGTCGGGCACCCCAGCTAGAGACCCCCGGTGACTCATGCAGCCTAGCTTTTGGAAACTGGAGAGTCAGCTCTGGGAGGGCACACAAAAGGCGATTGCCACTCACGATCGCCATAACAGCGCAAAGGCCTCAGGAAGAACTGGGCCTCGGAAGTGGAGCGGTTCGTATCCCCTATCACCACCTGAGTGACAGGCAGATGGTCCACAAAGGTCAGCAGTCCCTTGTCAGTTCTCCTGTGGGGGCAGGTTTCCATGGCTCAGACCCAGCCACTCAGCTCCCCCGCCCGCCGGAGTCCTAAAAACCCTGTCTCTTTGCCCCCTCACCACTGGGGCTGGTCGGCATCACAGTTGCAGTACAAGGCAGGGTCCACACAGCTCCGGTCCAGACCACAGGCACAGCGCTGGATCCCAGGCTGGGAGCCTCCCCAGTAGAAGTGCTGCTCCTCATTTCGGCCAATCCAAAAGCTGTAGGGGTAGCCTCCTGGGGAAGAGGTGCAGGCAGCTTCCAGGCCCTGTCCCTCCGTTAGCCTCTGGGCTCCTCTCACCCTTCCAACCAGCCCAGACCCCTCCTTGAATCTTCCAACCCAAAGCCCCAGCTAGCTCTCTGGCTTCCTTCTCCCAGGCCCCCACTGGTGTCTCCTCCAGTTCCGCCACCTCCCTCCCTGACCCCAGCCCTAACCTGCAGTGTTGAGCAGCCGGGAATTGTAGCAGGAGAACTCGATCCACTGTTCACAATGCTGGGAAGCATTGGCAAGGGCACTGACTTCCTCCCAGGATGCATTCCAGTACTGGATAGCCCCCAGGAATGGCCGCTCCATGCTGGAACCTGTCACTCGAGTTGTCCACAGTCTGTCATGTCGCACAACTGTCCACGCTCGGTTCTCTGGGAGACAAGAGGGGACAGAGCTTTGGCTGGAGTTGGGCATTCTCTACCCATCTCCCTGCCCACCTTCACCACTGCTGCTGCAACTCAGAGCCACTGAACGTGGCCAGCAGCTCCATTGCACCTCTGCCCTGGGCACTCTGCATTGTAGGCTGGAAATGAGATAGCTGGAATGGGTAAGGAAGCTGGAATTTACTTTTTTTTTTTTTTGAGACGGAGTCTCACTCTGTTGCCCAGGATGAAGTCCAATGGTGCTATCTTAGCTCACTGCAACCTCCACCTCCCAAGTTCAAGTAATTCTCCTCCCTCAGCCTCCCGAGCAGCTTCCCAAAGTGCTGGGAGTACAGGGTGAGCCACTGCACCTGGCGTGGGATTTATTTTTAAGGCTAGGTTACAAATTCCTCAGTATCCCCTTACCCTCTGTCCTCCTTTACCCCACCTGTTTAGTCTAACTGCCCCCACCACCACCACCACCACTCTATCCTTCCCGGTTCCCTCCTCACCCACCACCCATCAGAAACACTTACCTCGGATATCACAGTACACTACAAATGGCTTCAGGGGGCCACTGCCATCAGGATCAATAGTGAAGTTTCCAGAAGTTTTCCCACTGAGCCGATAAGCCTCACAGGATTCCTTATACAAAGCTGGCAGATAGTAAGGTGAGACAAAGGCAGTTAGAGAGTTAGAGGGCTGGCCGGGTGCAGTGGCTCAGGTCTGTAATCCCAGCACTTTGGGAGGCCGAGGTGATGGATCACCTAAGGTCAGGAGTTCGGGACCAGCCTGGCCAACATGGTGAAACCCCATCTCTACTAAAAATACAAAAATTAGCTAGGCGTGGTGGTGTGCACCTGTAGTCCCAGCTACTTGGGAGGCTGAAGTAGGAGAATCGCTTGAACCTCAGAGGCAGAGGTTTCAGTGAGCCCAGATGGCACCACTGCACTCCATCCTGGGCAACAGAGTGAGACTCTGTCTCAAAAAACCAAAAACAAAAAGAGAGAGGGCTGGAAGGGCCATCCTCACCATCTCTAGCAGCCTCATGATCCCCAGCAACCTTCTCCTGACCTCCCTTGTCCCTGACTCTCCCCCATACTGCATCTGGCTTACGTGTGTGGCAGGTCTCTCCCTTATAGCCCGTGAGTTCGCAGTAGCAGATGAAGTCATCCCAAGACTGGTAGCAGCGTCCATCATGCTCACACATGTTAGGGCTGCACCTAGGGAAGGGGTCAGGACCAAGGGAAAGAGCCTTACTGGGAGCTGGAGAGGGGGTCTGATCCTTGCAAGCTTCACTCCCAGCTCCTTGAAGCCCCAGAACCCAGCGAGACACACCCCGCCTAGCCAGCCGGGTGTAAGCCCAGATGCAGGGGCACTAGGCAGTCCTCGGGGCTCAAGTACTACTGTTCCCCCTTCCTGAAAACAGCAAAACATGCCTTATTCTACCCCCATCTTCCCCCCCGCACAAAAAACCCCTCTACGACCAAAAACAGATGTGTCATTTCCATCCTGAGCGTGTATCACCTTAAGGGAGGAAATCAGAGGTAAAAGATCAAAGAATAATCATCCCCAAGCAGGGGACTAAGGAGCAGAGACAAGGAGAAGGGAGACTATTGAGAAAGGCCATTCCTACTGGGAGACCAGGGAAGAGGGCTTTGGAGGGGTCACCTCTTGTTAGGGGCTCCTGGGTACCTATCAGTGATGCCACATGTATCAAAAAGGACCTCAGCATAGAATCCAAGCCGCCGGAACTCCACCAGAGTCAGGTTGACCAGCTGACCATCCACCTTGAGCAGCTCCATGCAGCCATGGAATGCCGTCTGGTTGGAGTGGCAGTCCCATCGACTGGCTGGCTTGGGACAACCTGGAGCAACCACCCCGTGAGACCCTCTCCAGGGGAGACCCCAAAGACCCTCCCCCAGGGAGATGCCAAGAGGGTGCCAGACATAAAGGAAGAAAGGGGACTAGACCCAAAGTGTAGATGGCAATGACCTTCTACTCCCCAAGGCCCCAGAGAGGAAAGAGGGCTTGCTCCCTCCAAAATTCTCCATATGGCCCCATCTGGGTGGACTTAGATGGAGCCTTCCCACCCAGAAACAGAGATCTGGTCAGGTTGGCCCTCACTTACCCCCAAAGAAATATGAGGTCCCTGTCCGGATCAGCAGTGGGTATGACACCCTGACCTCTGCCCCCTCCACATCATCAATGCTGATGACTGCATGGTTTTCCTGTGCCACAAAATTCACCTCGTGCCAAAAGCCATCGTTCAGTCGGTACCCTGGACAAGAATGGATGATAGTGTGGGTGGAGGCAAGCAGCAACTAGGCTAGAAGAATGTCCTGAGTGGGGAAGCAGCCCCACTGTGTCCCAGGAGCAGCCTGTGTGCCCCTGTGATTACACTTCTCACACCCAGTGGAGACCTCTCTGAATGCCTCTTCATTATCCATGACCCAGCAACTGCCACAGAGTCTGCACAGTTATAAATGAGTAAAGATCTCCAGGGGCCCTCTGGAACTGGAGAATACCAGGACTCCCAGGCTTCCCCCTTCTCCAAGAATCCTTAGTCCCTCAGATCCGCCTCCTCACTGCCTCCAGCCACTCCCATCTTTTCCCAGTACCCTGGGGCTTCCTGCCCTGCGCCCTTCACTCCCTCTCCCCTCACCAGAATGTAAAGGCCTCAGTCCAGGCCTACAACTTTCTCGGGCTCCTCTACCCTTCTTTTCTCTGCTTGTGCCTCCCCCGAAACGCCCTCACCAGCAGCGAACTGAAGCTTCTTTCGGCCGCTCTGCGCGATGGACACGTTGACCTGCCCTTCGCTGAGTGTCAGCTCCACGTGGCCCAGCCCGTCCCCCAGACGAGAGAAAAGGAGAAGCCCGGTGAGGTCCCAGGTGCGGAAGCGAAATGAGACTGCCAGACGGCCGCGGCGTGGGAAACCGGGCACTTGAACGAAGTTGTGAGGGCCTCCGAAGTTGATAGGGTGCGGTACCGGGTCCAGGCAACGAAACGCCACCTTACCCTAGGGGCACAAGCGAAGACGCATCAACACCCGTGAGCCGCCTCTGCCTCAGCTGGGATTCGGTTTTCACACTGGTCTAAGACCCTGGTCACCGCCCTCCTTCGGTGTTGGCGGGGGTGAGATCTCCAACCAGGACATGACCCCATCCCCTCCAAGCTCGTCCATCTGTGGAGGGGGCCCCAACCCAGTCGGCCCTCGGAACTCTGCTCGCTTGCTCTCGCTGATCTCCACCGTCTGCTAGGCAACCGCTTCTCTCCTTCCAGTATCGAGAGGCAATTGCGGGCCACAGACCAGGCTCCTGCCAGCTTCCCGACAAAGCTCCAGAGTCGGAGAGGGGTGAAGGGGGCATATCAAAGAAACCATCGATTCAAGTCCCTACTCAGTCACTGTGCAGCTGCACGACCCCTGGTCAAGCCACCCCCTGTCTCTGCGCCTTACGCTCCCATCTGTGAACCAAGGTGATTGGACCCGACCACGGCTTCTTAACGAGGGGCCTGCGTGGCTCGTGCACCTCAAGTGAGACCCGCTCTCCTCCCAACTTGAGCATTTGGCTGGGGACTGAGGGATCCTCCGCTTTTATCTGATGTTCAATATCTCTTCCCGCTCCACCTCTTTGCTTTCCACGAGGCTTTGGTATCCTGTCCTCCCAGACCCCCCTGCCCACTGGCCTCGAAGGTGATCCGGGAATGGCGCCGCACAGCCAGGTCTGCGATGTTGACGCGATTGAAGATTACGTTTTCTATGCAGCCGCGGAAGTTATGCCGATAGGCTAGATTCTTCCGCGCGGCGCCCACCAGTCCTCCGATGAACATCTGCGGGAGAGGTGGGAATGAGGCCCCTTAGGCACAGGAGCGCGCCTGCCTTTCTCGCGCATCCCCGCCGTATGCGTTCCCAAACGCCAGGTGGGGCTTTGTAAAAGATTTGAAACACACATTTCCCCAGCGTCGGTACTAAAGCTTGCTAGGCCTTTCAAGGCTCGAGTTCAAGCTCTGACTCCAACACAAATCTGCTGCACGACCTTGGGCAAGTCAATTAGCCTGCCTGGGATTCTTATCTGCAGATGGGGTCAGGGTCTTTAACAACTCCACAAAGTTGTGGGAGGATCCAAGGGACAATTTTCCTACCTTGCCTAGTCCCCAAAATCTGGATTTCCAAACCCCACCTCATTAGTTCTGAAATGGTGCCTGGAAGTCTGCATGCTAACACCAACACCCACAAAAAAAAAAAAAAAAAAAAAACAAAAAACAAAAAAACAAAAAAAAAAAAAACGGTCTTTTTCTGGTGAGCGGCAAGTTTGCCAAGGGCTGCTAGGATATTCAGGAATTGGAATACGAGGTCTTTAAAAAATAATCTTTTTTTTTTTTTAAATAGAGGTAGGATGTCACTGTGTTGCCCTGGTGGGTCTTGAACACCTGGCCTCAAGCAATCCTCCCACCTCAGCTTCCCAAAGTGCTGGGATTACAGGCATGAGCCACCACCCACAGCCTGAATGTGAGGTCTTACCTCTGAGAGACAGAGAAAGAGAGAGAGAGAGAGAGACCGACCTGCACTCACTCATCCAGCATCCTGCCCCTACCACGAAATAGCACCTCCCTAGTCTCTCACCTCAGTGTCCAGGTTCAGCCTCTCGAAGTCTCCATTGAGAATAAAGCGCTGCACATAGCCGTCCAGGGTGAAATTTACGTCGCGGCCAAATCGGTCCACCCGCACGTAGTGCCAGTGCTGGTCATTGAGGACTCCGCCAGCGCTCACGGTGGTGTGACCTGGTCTTGGCTGGATGGGACTGCTGCCTGAGGGTGGGGCAGGACAGAGTAAGACCTCAAGCCAGGAGAACTCCATGGAGTCCAAGCTCCTAGGCACAGCAGCCTGTAACAAAGCCCAGGGCAAGCAGGGAGAGTGGGCTAATAGATAAACAGCCATTGGTGAGTGTGTGACAGGGTAAGCCATTTAGCCTGGCTTCCTGTCTGTGAAAGTGGGAACACATGAGCTGCTTCTATTTCATCGCGCGGGTGTTATGAAAAGCTAATGAGATACAGTGTGTGTGTATGTGTGTGTGTGTGTGTGTGTGTGTACAAGGAAGGAACTGAGGCTCGGAAGTGCCCCATCCGAGGTCACATCTCTGGGTAGTGGTAGAGCTGAGACTGGAATCCAGTTCTCACTCCGACTCCAGTGTTTTGCTAGCACCAAATACTACAAGAAAAGCGTAGTTTGGTCCAGGCCTTAGAGAAGTGGAAGACCAGGCGTGAGCGCGGCTGCGCGGAGGAGGTGCTGCGAGGAGGGCGGTGAGAGAACTTCAGGGGTTGACCCCTCATCGCACCCGGCCGCCGAGCTCACCCAGGCTCATGTGCAGCAGCAGGTGTGCCCCCTCCAGCTCGATCGTCACGTAGTCGCCCTGGGCGCCCTCGGCGTGCAGCAGAAGCCCGTCCTTCTCCTCGGTCTTGAAGCTGAAGGCGAACACGTCCCACAGGCTTCGGCTGACCCCTCGTGGGAAGCGGTATGAGATGGCATCGTCACCGTCGAAATAGAGTATGTCGGACTCTGCGCAAAGGAGCAAAGGACCGTAGATGGGCCGGGGACTGGGGAGGCTGTCTGTCTCCCGGGCCCCCTCCGCGCTCTCTGCATGCTTACTGTATGGGCAGCCGTAGAGGCCGAGCCTCAAGCCGATCTTGCCGCGTGGGTTCCAGGCCAGGGGCACGATGCGGATGTAGCGCGCGGTGAAGTGGTAGTGCAGGTCATGGCGCACCAACGCAGACTCGTTCACGTTACCAAAGAAGGTCTGAGGAGGTGGGAGAGAGTAGTAACCACGTTCCACCCTCTACTTATTTTTTTATTTTATTTTTTGAGACAGAGTCTCCCTCTGTCGCCCAGGCTGGAGTGCAGTGGTGCGATCTCAGCTCACTGCAACCTCTGCCTCCCGGGTTCAAACAATTCTTTGCCTCAGCCTCCCGAGTAGCTAGGATTACAGGCGTCCACCACTACGCCCGGCTAATTTTTTTTTTTTTTCCCGTAGAGACGGGGTTTCACCATGTTGGCCAGGCTGGTCTTGAACTCCTGACCTAGTGATCCACCTGCCTTGGCCTCCCAAAATGCCAGGATTACAGGCGGGAGCCACTGCACCCGGACCCCCTCTGCTTCTTTCTCCATAGCCTTCCAGCCCACAACTTTCACACCCAGCCAATCTCGACTTCTGGAAAGTAAATACTCTTTGGTCTCCCCTGCTAGGCGGCTTTGCCTGGTCAGTTTCCATAAAGTGTCCTCTCACACCATCCTATTATTTCCTCAGACCTGAAATCAAATGTCACCTCCTTAGGAAGCTCTCCCAGATTTTACCCTAAAGTGTCTTAAACCCTGTGAACCGAGTGTTTCGTGCACGTCCTAAGTTGACAGCCCCTCTGGACAGAGTCCCTGGAGTGGAGTCAGTGCTCCTCGTCCATGCCCTCACCACCACCCCCTCCATTTTCCCAGAGGCTGGTGCCCCTCCAGAGCCTGGAGCAGAGGAAGCTCCCCAACTGTTACCGCCTTGGTGCCCAGAGTACCGAGTTGTGCCCTCGCTGGTAGAACGGTGTCCAGCTGTCCACTCGGTCGCCATAGAGCAGCATGTAACGTGTGACCCAGTCCCAAGAATTAAAGGAGCCTTGTGTCGCCACGGCCCGGATCCGGTGCTTCTTCATTAAGTCTATCTGGAGCCAGGGATTCGGATCCCCAATCCGTGGTGACCACCCGCTTATGCCTATAGAAGAGACAAGAGCTTTAACCGGCTATCCTTCTCCCCGAAGCCCTCCAGAGACCCCTACCCTGCCGCGGTGCGCTGCCAGTTCACAGCTGATGTTCCGCGGAGCTCACCGTGCAGCCTGGCGAATCGCGGGGCCGTAAGGAGACTGTAGTAGGAGGAGGCGCCCAGGGAGCGTGCATAGAGGGGACCCACCAGCTCCTCGTCGCAGCCGTCTAGGGTAGGGAAACCGACATGTTAGCGCTAACACCTCCCAGGCCCTTCCAAAGGCCCGCCCACTTAGCCACCGAAGCTTCCCTTCTCTGCCCCCAGCCACCACCCCCAGAGGCACGCCCAGCTCTACCTTAAAGCCATCTATTCAATCCTGGCTGCAGCAACAGCTGCATGCTCAGAGGAGGCTGCCTTCTCCTTCTAGGGAAACCCCTAGGCTACACCTATAGGCCCAAGGCCAGACCCTCCCTAGCTAGCCCAATACCTGCCCTGGTTTAGTACTTCCCCAAACTCAATCCTAAACCTCAGCATCTTCCAGAACCTAAGTCAGCCCAAGACACCAATCCAGCTCCAACCCTAGCCTCAATCCCACTCGGCCCCCAAAACCTGCACCATCCCCAAATACAGGCCTTGTACCCAACCTCAGCCAGTCCTAGCACCATCACCAGCTCCATGTCCAGCCTTAGCACCAGTCAGGGGCACCAGCTCCTGCTTGGATCCCAGCCACAAAACCCAGCCCCAGCCACAAACCCCAGCCCTAGCCACAAACCCCACTCCTTGGCCAGCTCCAAAGTCCAGCCTCAAGCCCTGGAAAAACCTTAATCCTAGTCTCGGTCACCAGTATACACTTATCCCCCAGCCCTAGCCTCAAACCCAGGCACCAGCTCCTGCTTGGATCCCATCCCCAAATCCCTGCCCGGCTGACTTCATCCTCGCCCCGGAGCCCAGCCCCAGCCCCCGGGCGCGCGCGGCAGCCTCAGAGCTGCAATGCGGAGCGCGGGGGAGAGGCAGGAAAAGAGGAAAAGATGAGAGCCAGCGGGCGCGCGCCGGCCGGGAAGGACCCGCGACCACCCAGCCGCAATGCGGTGCGGGGCCGCCCTGCAGGCTCTGGACACCTGGGCCCAACCCCACCTGCCTCCAAGCCCAACACTCACAGTAGCCCCAGCCCTCGGCTTCTGAGACCGCGGCGAGCAGGATGCAGAAGAGCCGGAGACGCATCATGCAGGGCTGACGGTCCCGGCAGCCGCCTCCCTGTGAACGGCTCCGGCTATGGCTCGAGTTCTGGCTTGGGCTCCAAGCTCTTCTCCTGGGGTTTGCAGCAGACGGCTCTCTCCTCCTTACCGACCCCTCCCTCCCTCTTTCCTTTCGCCCCCAAGCGCTCTCTCTCTCTTCTCTCTTCTCTTCTCTCTCTCTCTCTCTCTCTCTCTCTCTCTCTCTCTCTCTCGCTGTCGTTCCTGGTCCTCCGCTCTCTCTTCTCCTTTCCACCCTCTCTCCTCTCACCTCCCCCCTTCCCCAGCCTCTGTCTCCTGGCACGCGCCGGTTTCCCGGACCCCGCGCAAGCGCGTGCCTCAGCCCTGCTGCGAAAGGGCGGGGGTAGAGAGCCTCTAGCCACCGAGAAAACCCCAAGTAACCCGAGGCTGCCCGGGACTAGGGCCACAGGGGTGAGGATAGGGAACCTAGGGCCAGAAGCATCCTGAAAATTTCAAGAAAAGGGAGGTGGTGGCGGGGGCGGGGTGCCTGGCAATGGAATGAAGGGTAAGTAAACATTTCTGAAGGCAAATTAAGCTCTAGGAGTGGTGCTGGGCACTATGAATTTAGGATTTTTGCTTTACTCCACTTTGCAGATGAAAAACCTCAGGCTCAGAGAGGTCAAGAAACTGAGTCAATATCATACAGCAAACCATTATATTCTGAAGCCCATTCTTTCTTCACTGACAGAGTAAAGACAGTAAATTATTTTTTTCTTTCTTTCATTCTTTTTTCTTTCCTTCCTTTTCTTTCTTTCTTCCTTTCTTTCTTCCTTCCTTCCTTCCTTTCTTCCTTTCTTCTTTCTTTTTTTTTCATAAAATCCAGATCCTGCACAAGAGAGTAAAGTCTTTTGGAGGATGTGGAATGGGAAAGTGACCCCCTAGACCCTAATCCCCACCTCCCTCTCGGCCCCTCTCCCCGCCTCTTCCTTCCTGTCCCTCTAGTAGTTTAACTTCTACCCCCTGTGGCTATACCTCAGAAACCTGTGTAGCCAGAGATGGGAACGGAGGCCACAGAGCAGGTGGGAGTGGGGGCAGGGAGGGGGAGAAGGGTTACAGAGAGGGAGGAAACAGGGAAGGAATGGGATTCTCCACCTGGCAATAGGCCTCTGCCATCCTATGGCTTATTGGGGATTCTTGGCACTATCTCAGACTAGGAGTCCTCCAGATAAATGGGCTGGTGGTGTGAGGCTGGGGTTGTGGGACGGGGACTAGGGCTGAGGGGAAAGGCGGGTTGAACCTAGAGGTCCAGGGTCCCACCTGGGCCCTGAAAACCTGAGTCCCAACCCCAGAGACCCCCTTGGCATGAGTGGTTCAGTGTGCTGGTATTGGAGGTAGAGGGAAGGTGGGTAGGGAAGGGAAAGAAGACAAACAGAAACCCACCCCAGACCGAGGTTGGAGTGCAGGGCTCAGGTCTGAGAAAAAGCCTGCATATGGGCATTATTCCAGGAGAGGGCGCTGCAAAGGGAACTGAAGCTCTAGGATTTATTAATAATACAACTCTGGGCTGGGTCCGGTAGCTCAGGCCTGTAATCCCAGGACTTTGGGAGGCCGAGGTGGGTGGATCACCTGAGGCCAGGAGTTCAAGACCAGCCTGGCCAACATGGTGAAACCCCATCTCTACTAAAAATACAAAAATTAGCTGGGCGTGGTGGTGGGCGTCTGTAGTGGGGCGTCTGTAGTCCCACCTACTCGGGAGGCTGAGGCAGGAGAATCGCTTGAACCTGGGAGGCAGAGATTGCAGTGAATCGAGATTGTGCCACTGCAATCCAGCCTGGGCGACAGAGCAAGGCTCTGTCTCCAAAAATAATAATAATAAATATAACAATAATACAAACTCTGTATTATGGTCTTTGGAGAACACAAGTTCTCCCCAGCCATTATCTTCCGTATTGCCATCTTCACAGCAAATCTTGAGAGGTCGGCTGGTCAGGATTTATAATCTCAACATTACATGTTAGGTAACTGAGGTCTAGAAAGAGCAAGTGACTTGCTCAAGGTCACCCAGAAAGCTGGAAGCAGAGATAGGAGGAGTGCAAGAGAAGCCTAGGCCTGCTGAAGGTGTGCTAGGAAGAGTCTGGAGAAGAGCTTATGTCTCTCCGTGTACTGTTACATCTGACCACACAGGAGCTCTCAGCTTGGAAGGCATGTGTGGGCAGGGGAGTGGTGTGGTCAGATGTGTCTCATAAGATCCCGCCTCTCATTTGACCCTCCCAGGTCTCCTGGGGCCATTACTCTGGGGATGAAGAGGAGGCATACTCGGCTGAGCCGCTGCCAGAGCTTTGCTACAAGGCCGATGTCCAGGCCTTCAGCCGGGCCTTCCAACCCAGTGTCTCCCTGACCGTGGCTGCGCTGGGTCTGGCTGGCAATGGCCTGGTCCTGGCCACCCACCTAGCAGCCCGGCGTGCAGCGCGCTCGCCCACCTCCGCCCACCTGCTCCAGCTGGCCCTGGCCGACCTCTTGCTGGCCCTGACTCTGCCCTTCGCGGCAGCAGGGGCTCTTCAGGGCTGGAGTCTGGGAAGTGCCACCTGCCGCACCATCTCTGGCCTCTACTCGGCCTCCTTCCACGCCGGCTTCCTCTTCCTGGCCTGTATCAGCGCCGACCGCTACGTGGCCATAGCGCGAGCGCTCCCAGCAGGGCCGCGGCCCTCCACTCCCGGCCGCGCACACTTGGTCTCTGTCATTGTGTGGCTGCTGTCGCTGCTCCTGGCGCTGCCTGCGCTCCTCTTCAGCCGGGACGGGCAGCGGGAAGGCCAACGACGCTGTCGTCTCATTTTCCCCGAGGGCCTCACGCAGACGGTGAAGGGGGCGAGCGCCGTGGCGCAGGTGGCCCTGGGCTTCGCGCTGCCGCTGGGCGTCATGGTAGCCTGCTACGCGCTCCTGGGCCGCACGCTGCTGGCCGCCAGGGGGCCCGAGCGCCGGCGTGCGCTGCGCGTCGTGGTGGCTCTGGTGGCGGCCTTCGTGGTGCTGCAGCTGCCCTACAGCCTCGCCCTGCTGCTGGATACGGCCGATCTACTGGCTGCGCGCGAGCGGAGCTGCCCTGCCAGCAAACGCAAGGATGTCGCACTGCTGGTGACCAGCGGCTTGGCCCTCTCCCGCTGCGGCCTCAATCCAGTGCTCTACGCCTTCCTGGGTCTGCGCTTCCGCCAGGACCTGCGGAGGCTGCTACGGGGTGGGGGATGCCCCTCAGGGCCTCATCGCCGCCGCGGCTGCCCCCGCCGGCCCCGCCTTTCTTCCTGCTCAGCTCCCACGGAGACCCACAGTCTCTCCTGGGACAACTAGGGCTGCGAATCTAGAGGAGGGGGCAGGCTGAGGGTCGTGGGAAAGGGGAGTAGGTGGGGGGACACTGAGAAAGAGAGAGGGACCTAAAGGGACTACCTCTGTGCCTTGCCACATTAAATCGATAACATGGAAATTAGATGCAACCCAACAACTGTTACTATTTTTGAGTCACCGACTTGGAAGTGATTTGTGGCAGGGCAGAGCCGGTGGGTTAACATCCCGCCCCTGCCCGCCCCTCAACCTCAGCGCTTGGCTCTCTGAGTGGAAGACGCTGAGGGCCTGGGTGGGGGTGGGGGGCTGCTGAGTCTGCTAAAGCTCTAGCCACTGACACTCCCTCCACCGTCACCCGGCCTCAGCCAACAGAGGTGAGGTGGGAAAGCTGCCAGGCAAGGAGGGGCGCGGGTTCCTCTTGCAATACTGTAAAGCAGAGCTTTCTAACAACTAGAGCGCTCTCCAGTAATGGCTGCCTTAGCAAATACGGAGTTCCCGCTATTGGAATGTTCAGACTGTCGTGGACGCTGTGGGCCTTTGCGTGGTGTGGGGGGAGGGGGGAGAGGGGCAAGAGATTCCCGTTTTGGGTGGGCATTTGGATTACATTACCACTTTACAATCCCTTCCTAGTGTCTGATGGAAGGAAAATGAAAAAACTAATTTTAAAAGTTGAGTTGAAGTTTTTCACCTTGAAGAAAAACCTAGGAGGGATTGCAATCTGCAAATTTCCGGAGTAGTTATCATGGGTGTGGTGGGGGTGAGGGATACTTGCTGTTCTCCATCTTCTCTGGGGACTGGGTCAGAGGAAATGCACTGAGCTGGCCGGAAAGAGAGAGGTTGGATATGGGAAAAAACTTCTCTGCAGGCAAGGGCCTGGGATCCAGACCGGGGAGATGGTTGTGGTATCTCTATTCCTAGGAAATCTCTCAGTACAGGCCACTCTCATCTGGAGAGAGGCCACAGCCGAGATGGCCTCTAAACCCGCTCGCATTGATTCCTGGTCTTTGTTTTACACAATCAAAACGGGCAGGATGGTGTTCACGTGCGACAGTTCTCGCGGTTTAATACCGGTCAGCAAAGCTGTACCCACCACTCCAGCCTGGAGTCTAGGGTCGAGAAGGGCGGGGCGTGGCGAGGAGGTCTCAAGGGAGGCGCTGGCCCGACGGCCCCGCCCGTCCCGCCCTGCCCCGCCCCTTCCCGCCCATCCCAGCCCAGCCCGGGCTAGCAGTCCTTCTCAGAGCCTCCGGCAGCAGCTGCGAAAAGAGGTCCCCCACGGCCTCTAGGGGCCAGGATCCAGGGAAGACCCGGAGACGGCGCCGATCCTCAAAGGATCCCCCACGCCAGCCACTGGGGACCGACCTGGAACCCCCCATCAGAGATCTCGGGAATCGCCGCTGAGTCAGCAACACGCGCGCGCGCCCGCGAAGGCCGCGGCCCCGCCCCGGCCGCCTAACGCCTGGGTTAACCCCTTCCTACACAGAACAGCAAGATATTCGCCCTAAGAGGCCTCCACTCTGTTCCGAGACCACAGAATTCCTTAGAATCTCAAGCCACTCTCCCCAGCTGAGTTCGGTGAGCTGTGAGCTCTATATTCGATTTTATTTCTGGCCTAGGTCTGCGCCTTCCCAGAGTGCCTGCCTCAACTGCTTCACCTCAAAAAGGAGGTGAGGCCAAGTGCAGTGGCTCACACCTGTAATCCCAGCACTTTGGAAAGCCAAGCTGGGAGGATCGCTTGAGCCCAGGAGTTCGAGACCAGCCTAGGCAACATAGTGAGGCTCCATTTCTACAAAAAATAAATTTAAAAAATTAGCCAGGCATAGTGGTGTGCACCTGTAGTCCCAGCTCCTGGAGAGGCTGAGGTGGGAGGATCCCTTGAGCCCAGGAGTTCGAGGCTGTAGTAAACTATGATGGCTGTACCGCACCCCAGCCTGGGCGAAACAGCGAGACCCTGTGTGGAAGAAAAAAAAAAAAAAAGGACAGGGGAGAGCTGAATCAGACCCAGAAACTCGAGAAACTGGACTCCTCCCCAGACGTGGAGGGCCACCTCCAGAGCTACATCCTCTTAGTAGCCAAGGCGTTTCCCTTTCTCAGGGACCCTGAGACGAGACAGGGGTTCAGAGAGCGACAGTTGGGTTTTCCTCTGTCCTGTACCAAAGCTCCTCACAGGGATTTTAATTTGTTGGTTGGTGAGCCAAGAGTTAAACCAAGAGCCTGAAGGCGGGCTTCCGTGACGTCACTAGCACCCCGCGTCCGACCTCAGAGACTAGGGCGTGGCTAACATCTTCTCGTCCCCTCCCTCCCTGTTTCCCCGCCCCTCCCTGCTGTCACCCAGCCAGGGGCACATGATGCAACCCACCGGGGTTTCAGCCGTCTGATTGGTAGCCGCGCCCGGCGCCAGGCACAG